GCGAAATGCCACAAGGTTGGAGGTTCTCCCCACTATTGTAATTTCCCGCCTCACTACTACCCAGAATGTGTCTGGGTAGTCATGCGTTCATTGAAGAGGACTAAGTCAACTGCTCCACGAAACCGCAGAGCATTGTCGTTCACGCAAACGTCCCAAAACGGCCGTATTACCAGTTAACCCAAAACTTCCGAAACTGTAACATCAAGAGGAAAATGGGCAGGAGCAGAAAGCGAAAAACGAACGTCCGATTTCGTTCATTTGCATGCTCCCGTACCAAGCTACGTGGTCGTCGTTACCTTTAACTTCACAACCTTCAAGGCAGCACTTTCCTCATGCATATTAACAAACTCCCCATTTTGTATAGAACAGCATGCAATTTAGCGTTTTGCATAGTGACGATGGGCCTATGTGGTTGGAAAAGCAATTCCGATTTAAAAATTGATCGTGTGGGCGTGAAAGCCTCATCCCTTGCTCTGGTTATCCAAAAAAAACATTTGATAATAACCACGTGGGTTTCCTTTTCAAAACGTGCCTTTGATCAAAGGCCAGCTGTAATGTCATTATACGTCTGTCTAGCCATAAGTCTCATGATCAAACACGTCTGCTAGTGAATCTCATTTAAAGAAAACTGAAAACTCGAGCCTCTTTGACCTATTTTCCTGTAGTGATCGAAAACTCGTTTTGAAATTACTGTCAGTACTGCCAGCCATATACGGTGAAACAGTCAACTCTTCGTAATGAGATGGAAGAAGCCGTCCACAGGGCACAAATGCAATAAACACACACTCAGAGGTTTATTGTAAGTACGATCTGTCCACTACATGACGTGGTGTTATTTTTAATCATGACTGAGGATAGGTAAATGTCCACGAAAGGACTGCAGCAAACGCATTTTGGAGAACAAGCTGTACGAATGGCAACCAATTCGGTAAATAGGAAATAGATGTAGACTACAATATTTGAGACCTTTTAAACGTAATTTAAGTATGTCAAATTTCAGCGGAGTCAAGACAAAAGTAATTTCGAGACAAAAGTAGAGTACAGGACTATTTACCCATCCATCAACGCATGATAGAGTTGTGGCGGCTAGGCGGCCAGAGTAAATGCTCTGAGCGCTACAACCACTATGTCAAATCCATGTTGGAAGGAGAAGACGGAAGGCACCAGAATGAGGGGTTTAATGTATACAGAACCCAGAGTTGTCCCCTCAGGCGACAGTGACCACTGGCGAAGCCAGGGCTGGTGTTGACTACGTCCAGTCATGCCTGGGAGTCCCTGAGGCAGTGGTGGCAACCGCTTTGTAGGCTCGTGGGCCAAGCTCAAGCGGTGGCCAATCGGTGTGTGTTGCATTTGCCGAGGGGTGGTGTCCCAGTGGCTTAGATTGTAGTTGAAGAGTGGAGGTGCGTTCTAGTGGCCTCATTGGCAGCTGCGGTTGTGCGGACGCAGGTATGCCCGGGCTGTCGGTCTCGTGACTTCAGGTCAGCGCGTCTGGAACGGCTCACTGCAAAGGGTGAATGACCTTGAAGCAGCGAGTTCGTGAACAAGACGCTGGACCGGTTATGATGGCTACCCGCTACAGAGTCATCGAAAAACAGGCGAAGATGAAAGCCCGATATGATGTGAACACCAGATCACGAGTCGTCATGCCTAAAGAAAGTGTCTACACAGGAATAGAACACGAAACGAACTTGTGCCCAGCGGCAGTTCGAACAAACGAGGGGTAAATGGTAGAATTAGAGTTAGAAGACGGGAGAATTGTGCGTCGGCATCTGGACCAAGTTCGCAGCCAAACGGACACCGTAAGTGGAGAATTCGGAAAGTTTGAACTGCCAGCAACCCTTCATAGGGATCCGGGCATCCCGAGGACTGAACATCTATTGCCTGCACAGAGCACAACGCCACCGGCCAAGGTGTCTGTTACCTACCCTCCTACCCCGGTCAGCGCTTAGGGGCAGCGAACCGTTGATTCCATAAAGCGGCGCAGAGGTCGAAAACACCGCCCTGAGAAGATCGACCCGAGTCCGCAAACGTGTCCAACGCTTTTAGGACGAATTCCATTAGAACATTGTTTAATTATC